GGGGTTAAACAGCCCTCTGAAGTAGGGTTAAGATGTTTGTACCAGTGATTCTGGGACTAGCATCACAGTGTATCTAAGGATCATAGTCACAAGGCGAGGGAGTGCTGCGGCTGGGACTTGACCCAACCTAGCCTGTAGGGTCTCCTAAACAGTATAACAAATTTCCAAATATTTAAAGCCTGAAAATGAAAAAAAAAATACTTGGAAGAAGAAATTTAGGTGGTGGAATAAGAGATACAATATTTCTAGTGATCTAGTATCTAAACACATTCACTATTGCTACACATAAAAGTGTATTTCTCTGAGCTGCTAGTGGCAGATTGATTAAATATACATGTGAATCTTATACTATTTTAATATAAAATGAGCCAAACTGTAAGGTTTTAGGAATCTGATGTTCCTTTATTTCTTCAGTTTGTAAGAAGAAACTATGAATATTATGGTAAAAGGGTTTTTATGTTTTGGAGATAAACTACCTTTTATTGAGTTCAACAAATAAATAGATGTTTTTAGAAAAAAATATGAAAAACAGAACCACAACAACACCACTCCAAAATAAAAGCCAATCTCAAAGGAAAACATCCCCAACGTTTACCAAGAAAAATTTTGTAATACATGGTTTTCTGCATGGATATTAATCAATCTCATTTTCTCCACAGTTATTAAAAACTTTCTACTGTTGTTATTTCATTTTTATCTCCGTGAAATGCAGATGTTTATGCAGAGGGGAAAGAAGCTGTTATGGAATACTTTCTTGCTGTGGTATTTATATATTTTCAAACCTAGACCAGACTTTTCCTTGCTGCAGTAAGACAGCTAGATAGCTCTAAGACAGCAAGGAAGTGAAAAAAGCAAATCAAAGGCACATAGGGGCAGCTCACAAGAATTGTAAAAGCTTTAATATTCTGCTTATTCTTGGAACCAAGAGCCCTGACTTGTCACTGGGTGCTTTAGGAGGAAAGACCCAGAGTCTTCCCACCTCCACCCATGTACAAGGGATATTTGGGGAAAAAAATGTTAATAAAAACAATGATCCAAAGCATCCTGCTGGGGTGGAGAGCAGTTATAACCTCTAAGCCTCATGCAGTCATAGTGGGGCCTTTTCAGAGATGAATCTAGAGTATGTGATTGATTCATGGTGCAATCCTGGGATTAGGGTGCTAAGATTAAGGGTGGGTGTTTGGTTTGTCCCTGCCGTAATCCCAGTATCCTTGAGACAATATGCAGGACAGAAAGAGGCTTCTTTTTCCCTTGTAGCTTTGCTACCTTCTGCCCACCATGAACTGGTGCCCTCTGCCATGTGCCATCCTTGGAGCCAGCTGAGCAGGAACTGAAACCTCTGTGAACTGTATGCCAAACAAGCCTTTCCACCTCTGACTTTGTGAGCTGCACATTTTCCCTCAGCAATGAGAAAAGTGACTAAGATGGGGGAGGGGACTGGGCTTGTGGGTGGAGTTGGGACTAGAAACTGGACCAAGTGAAAAGAATATACTCCAGAGTCAATCTTCAGGTAAAATCTTGGACTAAAAAGTTATTAACGGCAAAGGTGGCCAAGTAATTTTAAAATTCTGAGCTCTCATTTTCTTTGTGGGACAAGTATGATCACATAAATTACTAAAGAAGGTGGATGACAGCCACAGGTAGACTCTAGATCAGCCCCACAGGTCTGTGTACCTTCCTCAGGGCATCATTGAAGTCCCATTTGAAACTAAGGTCTGTAGAATCATTTTGAAATTCTTTCCTCCAAAAAAAAGTTATTCATATACCTAATTTAAAATATAATTAAGTAATATGGTTCTAGAGGAGCAACATAATTTCAGGTATAAATAAATATATCCAGATAACATAGATTTCTCTAGAGCAGATTATCTGTAGGGTTTACTCAAATATTTTTTGGAAGGTGAATTAGACATTCCTCTGATTTTTCCTTGAGGGCCCAGGACCATTTGTATAGAGATAGCACCTTCTTTACAGATCTGAAATCGCCTCCCCATTTCCTTTTTGCAGTGCTACAGTGGCTTTGTGAGGATGAAGATGTCTGAATCAAGGCTTTAACTCTGTACAGTAAATCTTTCCTGCTGAAGTGACTCCTGGTAATACCCGAAAGTATGAATGGACACTTAAAAGGATCCACAGTGGATTGTGAGACTTCAATGGTAAGTGAAATAAATCAGACACAAAATGTTAAATATCATGATTTCTCTTATGTGAGCACCCAAAATATAAGGAAATTCAAGTGTGAAATAAAGGAGAGATGGCAAGAAATAGGGAGGTAAGATGTTTTAGAGAGGGAAAGGGATTAAGGGACAAGGGTGGAGCGGAGGGGAGAAATGAGACTGAAAACAATCAAGAGACGATGTATGTGTGTTGAGCTTGTATGTGTACATGTGTATATGCATGACAATTTCCAAAATAAATATATACCAATAAGAATACATAAAAACATCTATCATGCTTCCATGATAGATGCAACAACATTAATCACAGTACCTCTTCTCGTGTCCTGCAATGGTTCAGAATTTTGTTGCCATCTGAGCAAAACTACTTGGAGGAGGTAAAACGCAGTTTGGCTCAAGGTTTGAGAGGTTGCAGTCCATGGTCTGTTGGTTCATTGCTGTGGGCCAGAGGTGAGGCAGAGGGCATCACAGTGGAAAGGAATGGTGGAGAAAGATGTTTATCTCATGGAAGATGAAAAGCAAAAAATGAGGGATGGATTGAGGGGGCTGGGGAGAGAGAAATAGAGAGAGGAGGGGAAATGAGAGCAAGTGCTGAGACAAGTTACAGCCTTCAAGGTATACCTAGTCATGTCCTCCGGCTGAGTCCCAGTTCCTAACAGCCCACTTATCAGTGAACTCACCCACAGCTTACTGGGATGAGGTTAGTGCCCTCATGATCCAATCACCTCTCCAGGCTTGCCTCTGAACAGGCAAGCCTTGTCCTTACTAAATCTATGTCTTTATTCCTAATCATTTTAATGTGTTCTTTTTTCTCATTACCCTTTAGGTAAACCTTTTACTTTTTCTTTTTTTATAATAACATTATCTGTAAAGGATGCCTCCTGCTTGCTTGCCGTCATGTGCTTGTTGCAGCTCCTGACTTTAGAAATATGTCAGGATGGTGATTGTGGCATGAACAGATGGCAGGGAAAGCCTCTGGTACTATGACATTTCCAATACATTTGACTCCCTGATCAAGTCTGTATTGCTCCCCCAATCATATTGTATAGGAACTTTTATGAAAATGTCTTTTCCCACTGAACTCTGGCCATACTGAGAGCATTTTCTTATTCGTCCCTGTATTCAGTGTTAGCCCTCAGCTTGAACAAATGAACGTAGAGATATTTATGGACTGATGACAAGTACCCTAATTTTTCAGAGTTCAATAAAAATAACTTGAGAAGAATAGTGCCCAATATAGGATTATGAAAATCTTTTTATGATTTCAAAGAACAATCCACAGTGGTCTTTCTAAAAACTGTTTCATTTAAAATTAATATCTTGAATACCTGTCTTTTTGTGATGTTATGTGAAAAAGCAGGAAAAAGAGACCAATTTTAAAATGATAATGTAGGCTGGTGAGATAGCTCAGCAGACAAAGCAGCTGCTTTGGCAAGTGCAGGGACGAGGGTTCAATTCCTGGTCCTGCGTGCAGCACTGAGTCCGCCCCCTGGGGGTGCGCTGAGCCAGTGACAGAGTCTGGGCGTGGTGATGCACACCTGTAATCCCAGTGCTGGGAGGCTGAAAACAGGAGGATCACCACAAGTGCAATCTGCGTAGCGAGATATTTATGGGACTGACAAGAAGTCAAAATGAAAAAAGAAAAAATACACAAAATGAAAAATAAAAGGTAATGTACTTGTTATTAAAGATGGGAAACCCAAGTCTCATCTAAGTTGTTGGCTCATACGTGAAGTCCTGATTTGCTAATTTGTGTCTTTTCTAGCAAATATACAATTACGTAAATTCAAAGCATGATGAAATCAACCAATTGGCTACTGAATACCTGGCCACGAAGACACACAAAATGGTAAGTTATGATGATTATGTCTGAATGCTGTCCTAATATTTTAAATAGCATCTACTCTATGCATAATGACTTCTGTTGATAATATATACACTCCAGTTTCATATATTCTTATTTGAAATAATGTTTTGTCTCTAAGTGTTATTATATATTTAATCATTTAAAGTGGATATAAGAAGGGATTAAATAATGAGAAAAAGAATTCTTAACAAATAACCAAAATACATCAAAGAACTTGCAAAATCAACATGGTAGAAGTCATATTTATTGAAAAAAATTAATATCTTTGCTATAAAATTTGTAACAGGAATATTTACTCAATGTTTATTTTGATGCAGAAACCTGAATGTTACATAACAAGTACAAGACAGTAGCACTAGTTTTCCTTTATTTACATCTTATGAAAATTGTTATGCAGTCCATGTTAAAAGAACTAAGATGGAGAATTGTTACATTAGAAAAATAATATTCTTGATAAAGCATTCTCAAGGAGTCCAATCATAGTTTCTGCCTCTTCAAAAAGGCAAAAGTCCCTGGAACAGCATATAACTTAATTTATAAAATACAATAACTGTTCAGACACATATTCAAGTTTTCTTTTGGTATTATTCCTCACTGTTTTTCTTTTAAACTAAAACAGAAAGACTTTTCAGGAAAATGTCACTTAATGATTTCAGCTATACATTACATACACAACTCTGTAGCCTAGCAACCACCATCGCTACACCATCATTAACTTTAAATATTTTGCTTGGTGAGCTATTTGCAAATTGGGCCTATTTTAAGATTTTGCCATCATTATGACTGTGGAATCATTGCTTGGTTTTCATAGGAAACAGATCTGTCACAGTATGAAGCTTTGTTTAGTTTAAGGAACTGGTACACAATTACATGTCCACTCACAAGAGAACACCACAGATGTAACTGAAGTCAGGCTTTGACGGCTCTGCACAAGTTCTGCATTAGGCAACCCTAACCCTCCTCACACACGCCATAGTCCCAGCCAGGTTCACACTGTTTCAATTTCAGAGAGCTCCTGATCTTCACAGTTAGGTGGTTTTAATTCCTTCGAAGGCACACAACTTCCATCTCTTTTCCAGCGTTGCTCCCACACCCGTGAACTCCTGCTTGAACATGCGTGGTAGCCTCATCAAAAGCATTTCGATTTCGTTGGCAGATATCTGTGAGAAAGGAGAAAGCACTCATGGAAAGGAGCTCATCTTAAAGCAGGGTTTGGAAAGGCGGATCTTTCGCAGCAAGACAAACAGTCAGTTTTCTCCTTGGCTGCCAAGTAATGTCCTCATGTGAGCGTGTGTAAAGTGCTGAATGTGGTGAAGCCATGTGCTGAGTAGCCCTGGGACCGCTCCTCAGGAGGACGCTACCACACAGGCAGAGCTGGGATGAACAGCCTCCCGACACACCAGGGTTCAGGGCAAACTCCTTGGGACCAGGACCCTCATCCTCAGCTAGGAAGGGGGAAGATTTTCTCTAACTCAGAAAAGAGCAGGGGTCTTCTGAGGGGATATCTTGCCATTCAAACTCCTTTAACTTCTTTTAATTTCACAGAAACCAGAGATTGAGAGGGTTTAGGAAGGAAAACAAAATTATAAGTCTAAAGCAATAAAAGTCTTGTTATCTAGTCATAAAATCCAGGTAAAATTTTAGTGCAATATATTTTCTCAGAAATATTCACAGGAATGTTTATACCAACAACTCATTTTATTTTAGGGAATAAATAATCCAAAGTTCTGTCTATCCTAATAAAGCCTTCATCTTCTGTTTGCATCATAATCTCTCTCCTCTCTGTCTCTCTCTCTCTCTCTGTCTGTTTCCCTCTGTCTGTCTGTCTGTCTGTCTGTCTGTCTGTCTGTCTGTCTCTGTGTCTGTCTCTGTGTCTGTCTGTCTGTCTGTCTGTCTCTGTGTCTGTCTGTCTGTCTGTCTCTCTCTGTTGAGTTTAAGGAACTGGTACACAATTACATGTCCACTCACAAGAGAACAACACAGTGCAACTGAAGTCTCATGCAGCAAAGTGACTAAATTGGGGTCGGACATCCTGTTTGAATCCTGCTCTATTATTGTTAGAAGCTAAATGGCTCTTACGAAGATACTAGTTTAAGTGTAAGCAGTTAGGTATAACATTTAATAAGAAGGGTGTGAAAACTATTGGCTTAGCAAAATTTGGGCACATAAAATGCTTGGTGAATCAGAACTTTCATATTTTCCCTTGATATAATCACTGCAGAGATGTAATTTTTCAAGTTTATACTCTCCATTTACCAAAATTAAGACTCACTAAAGAGATACCAAAGAGACCAGAAAGCCAAATCAACTCTGTTTACTATTGACATGGAACACATTCCATGTATACTCAGTATTTTTAGGCCTCTAATATAAAAACTTCAGTTAAATCACACAAATGCTGAAAGTTGAGAGTAGCTGTCTTTTAAAACTGTTAGTAGATTATTTTGAAATCTGAGTGCATTTTCCCACAAAACCAAGGTAGAAGGCATAATAGAATCCCAAGTCCACCCACAAAAGCAGAGATCCCTGAAGGGTCCTGGCAAGTCTGCCAAGTACTTCTTCCCAGAGGCACTGGGGAGCCATGTCCTCCTCTTGCCCAGGGCACTCCCTGCAGCCCTGTGGGATGCTGGATGACTGGGGGTCAAGCATGTCATCAGAGGCAGAGCTGGGGAGAGCAGCTCAGCAAGCTGGTGCACCTGTGTACTGTCTGCTCAAAGCCTATCTCGCCCAACCTCAGCCAGGGGCACAGAGAAAACACCTGGGGCACTTTTAAAAAAGAGTAGCTTTCCTGGATCCTCTAGAGAGCCTAGCTTAGCCATCTGGATGCAGCCCAGACAATTTGTTTAACAATTACCCCACATAATTACAGAGACTTAAACAGGCTTGGATTTTACTCTAGCCCTGGCCTCAAGCTGTGTCACTTTGGGTAGATCACTTGGTATTTACAATGCTCAGTTCCTTCATGTGTGTAAGGGAAATGATACCTCTTTCAATGTTATTGTGAAGATTAGGTGTACAATGACACACTGTCCATCTCTGCATAGAATGGTAAAACAACACTGCCACGAAAATTTTGTGTTAGGTGGATCAAGCATCGTACTTGGAAGCCAAATGTGACAAGTGCAGAGAGAGATGTGGTCAACTCAGATTTTAGCTGGCCCATGGGGTCATTTTCAATTCATTTTTAACTGCATATAAAAACCTAGGCATTGTGCATATGGTAATGTGATGCTTGCATACAAGCATACCTTATGCAATGTTTCTATCAAGTTAAGCATATCTATCACCTCATTTATCATTTCTTTCTGGTAAAAAGTCCAATGTCTTCTAGTTTTCTTTTAAATAGGAGGTGGTTTCTCTAATGCTAATGAGGCTGTCACCTTCCTTTGAAAGAAGAAGGTGCAGGGCATCAACATAGGGCAGCAGTCTTGGGTCCAACTCCAGTGCCTCCCATGGGATGAGCCACCTTCCCCATGTCAAGCATGGGTCACAGCAAAGCAGACAGAATGAGTCAGCTCAGAGGGCCCACCAGCTGCTAGCTTCCAGTCTAAAAAGCATGGAAGAAGCCTGGGCTGCTCTCAGAAGGGACAGAAACAGCTGCACTCTTGCAGGTAAGATAAATATCTGAAGATAGGGTCTATGCAAGAGGCAGCAGAGTCTAGCCAGGCAAGCCTGTCTGGCAGTCCTGCAACTGCTTATGGGAGGTCCAAGAGCTTGTGGTCAGAGAATGTTTTCCTGACCAGAATCCTCTGAAACTACACTTTGATTCTTACTTCCTTCTCAGCAAATAGAGAATAGCTTATAAATGAGGAAACTAAGGCCCAGAAATGTTATGAACTTTGTGCAGGGAAACTCAGAAAGGAAGTGCAGTTGCAGGGCACAGGTCCCCGAGGTGTGGCTGCGGTGCCCTATTCCTAACTAGGGATGCTAATCCATAAGCACTAGTGATTAGACCACGTGGACCAGCAACAATCTTCCTGGTCATACCTCTGTTCATGGATGAATGCCGTGGGGAGGGAACTGTAGGAGCACAGGGGTCTTGTGTGGTAAAAACACTATCAGAATTATGTGCACATTAACAGCAAAACTCTGAGGCTGGTACACACTTATGTGCTGATGTTTGAGTACTTCCATATAAACCATTCAGGGAGCCTCTGCTAGCATGTATTGACTTGAGAGACCACTTTTTTTTTATGTGTTCCTTTTACCAGAGCCCAGGCTCCAGCCGAAAGGCAGCAGAAGGCGCTTGCAGCAGGGGAGGACTGCCACCCATGGAGACTCACTGCGGCCATTCCTGGCCTCAGTGCATTACTCCACTGAAAAGCTCAGGAAATGAGCACACATACCCCTAGCTTGCAGGAAGAAATGTAGGCATAAGAGATTTGCATCCTAGTCCTGGAGTGACCATTGTTAGCTATCTTCCACTTAAGTACTAAGTTGCTTAACCTCTTTCAAGGGAACTGTTTTTTCTTTTGCAAAACCCAGGGCACCAAGGGGATTACAATGAAACTCAAGTGTTGCTCTTTGTTCTTGGTTGGTCTGAGTGCTGCCCCTCAGGGACTAGCATGGGTCTTAGGGAGAGCCACTCCTAATGCGCCTGTCCACAGGCTGTGGTAAGGATCTCAAGATGAGAGGCAGCCATAGGTCTTTTGCACATTTAAGCACAAAACAAATGGCAAAGCAGACTTATGTGCTTACACATGCCATTTTGTTTCACACACACATAATATTGCATAACGACCAATTTTTCAGATGGTGAAACTTAGACATATTTAAGTAAGTTGCCCAAAGTCAAACAGCTATGTAGTCAAACTGGAATTTGAAATTTTTACTATTACTTCATTTGGATAGCAATTAGCCATTTCTCAAATTTTGACAAAACTAAAACTTAATGTAATGCAAATTAATCTCTGCAAATGTAGTTAAAAGTACGTTTCTGGTGGTGGTGTAGGTAACACAAAGATGCCATACAGATGTAAATATTATGGGTAGAGATATATCGTAATTGTGGAACATATTACTTCAAATAAAATCCTATCTAAAATACACAGTTCATAAGGTTCCAAGTTAAATTCTAAAAATGTCCTTACATGTATTTACACTGCATGTGAGGAGAAAGATCAAGGAGAAACTTTTTAGGTTAGTTTCATGATTTTTAGACCTTTCCATTCCCCTGACAAAATAACCTTTTCTCACATTTAACATTTTGGAACTTTCAATGAAAATTCAACTTGCTCTTCACTTTCATTCTGTGGCCAAAGAAGTTTTATTTCACAAATATCTTCATTTATCTTAACTCTACATTTCTCTTACTTATCATTTGCCAGCTTTGTCATCTGCCTACACAATCTCCCTTACAATCCTACTGGTATGTTCTTGGTACTGAAAAATAAGAGCTGGGGACTCTCACATAAAACCAAGTACCCAGAACTCATGAATTGAGTTCTGGGGAGAATTTATCCACCGCTCATCTTGAGCAGGAATTCTTTCCAAGATCAAAGATTTTCTCTGTGCTCCTGTCTGTCACAGCTGGGACCCTGGGGTCCAGGGAAGGGCTGTGCTCAGACTTTGAGTCCAGGCCTACCCTCAGAGCAGCATGTCCCATCTCCCACAAGCCCTCAGATAGTGTTGAGCAAATGAAAAGCTTGTATCAGGAGAGTTAAGTACTCATGGTCAAGACAGCTCTGCACAGCACTAGGTGCAGGTTCTAGCCCATCTGTAGATGGGGCTGGGACTGTGCCACTGCATTTCCCATAAACTATCTACTTGGTGCTCCACAGAATGGCGAAGACTGCTGTAAACTTGATGCTCTCTCTTACCTAGATGACTTTCGTTGCAAAAAAATTGGTAGCCTGTATATGCTTTCAATGTTTGATATTGTCCTTGGGTTCTCCTGGTTGTTTAAAAATTTCTAACTCTAACACTCATCGTTTTCAGAGGGACTGATTTGCTCTGATTTGTTTATTTATTTTGTTGCAGTGCAGGGATCTAACCCAGAGCCTTGAGTATGCTAAGTAAGTACTCTACTACTGAGCTATAGTCCAGGCATGACTTTCTATAATACAAGGAAAAGATAAGAGCTCTCCACATAAATAAGCAGCTTGTGCGCTGTTAGCACTGCAGAGGTAATTTTGTTTTCTGATCTGCTAATTCTAGCACA